GATGTGAATGAGCAAGGCAACTTGAGAGCTATGTCCCTAGAGCAGTGATGGCGAACCTTTTGAGCTTGGTGTCAGCATTTTGAAAAACCCTAACTTAATTCTGGTGCCGTGTCACATATAGAAATTTTTTGATATTTGCAACCATAGTAAAACAAAGACTTATATTTTTGATATTTATTTTATATATTTAAATGCCATTTAACAAAGAAAAATCAACCAAAAAAATGAGTTCGCGTGTCACCTCTGACACGTGTGTCATAGGTTTGCCATCACTGCCCTAGAGCATGGTTCTCACACTTGAGTGGTCACTAGAAATACAGGCCTGCCTCCTTTGATTGCCCTTCACTTTATTGAGATTTAAGATGTTGCAGTTTTTACAAATTGAAGTTAAGACCCTCCACCAGCAAAAAGATTAGAACTCACTTTATTGCAGTGATCTGGAATGAACCCACAATATCTCTGAGGTGTGCCTGTATCTGGAGGGCTCTTTAAAACACAGAGGGCCAGTTTGGCTCAGTGGATAGAGTGTCGGTCTGCACACTGAAGGGTTCCAGTTTCGATTCTGGTCAAGGGCACATGCCCACGTTGCAGGCTCCATCCCCAGTTGAGGGCATGCAAGAGGTAGCCAATCAATGATTCTCTTTCATCATTGATGTTTCTATCTCTTTCTCCCTCTCCCTTCCTCTCTGAAACCAATAAAAATATATATTTTAAAAAGTGGAAAACAAAATAAAACACAGAGGGCAGGCCCCCTCTCCTAAGGCTTCTAAATCAGCATGTCTGTAGTGAGTCTGAAAATGTGCATCTCAACAGTTACCTGGTGATGATGATGTTGCTGATCTCAGGGACCACAGTTTGAGAACCAACATCTTAGAGGAATAAATGGTGACAGCTTTTTCCATGAAAACATGCAGGTGTATTCAATCTATAGACTTGACTAGCCAGTGTGTCTCTCTCATGTGTGCACCTGGGAGCCACATGAGGGGTGAGGGAACAGTAAGCCCAAGAGAAGAGGAGGTACAACGTGTAAATTCAAATCAAAGAGCCTCTCACTTCTATCTCCACTTGTTTTGTTCAAGTTGTGACTGAGGAACTGTGTTCGTTGGTCCTGTCCTCCCCCTGACAAAATGAGCCATAGTTCTTTGCAGATTAAAGATAATTTGCAATGTGAGTAGTCATGTTTTCTCTACTCGTGCACCAGAGGCTGGACTGCCCCTCTGGAGTCAGCAGGCTCAATCTTGAAAAAGCCCCAAAGAGCATCCCAGTGTCAGAGGGTGGCTGACTGAGGAACTGACCCTGCTCCTCCTATGGTGAGAGAAGTAGACTTGATCCAAGGGATGGGTGGCTTGGAAGCCAGGCTAAAGGAGAAGGAGGTGGTGGAGGTGGATTGGGCCCTTCTGCAGGCATTAGTAAGTCCCCTCTCCCTGACTCCCTACCCCTGGAGTGAGATCAGGAAACCAGAAAGTAAGACAAATTTTTAACATTGGGTTTCTGTGTATGTGTGTTTGTGTTGGGGGGTGTGGGGGGACATATACACAGAAAGAGGAGGTTTGAAATCCTGGAGTGAATCAGAGGGGTGCAACCTCTTCCTGATCACCCCTCAGAGCTCCAGCAGAGCCTGGGTTTAAGGGGCCTACAGCATCCCCTTCTCTCCTCCCCCATTCCAGCCTCAGAAAGACCCAGGACCCCAAGACAACTCCCCTGGGACAAGAATTAACTAAACCTGAATCCTTAGCTCTTCCTCTTTTTCTGAGTCCACCCCCAAAAGGTTCACAAGAAACCATAATAGGTCAACAAGGAGCTGTGCCCCCAGGAGGAGGAAGGAGGCCCAGAGCCACATCTAGGTTACTGAAAGCATTTCGAATTTTCAGAATATCACTGATGATTACATTCAGTCACAAGTAGTGAGTGTTCTCTGAAATCACACACATGCACACATACACATGTAAACACACAGGATGTCCCTTCTAGATGCAGATCATTGGAAGCTGACATGGTAGGCGGAGGCTAAATCAGACGCTCTGCGTGTTGAATGAGAGGCTGTGAATAGCATTAAAACTTGGGAGCTCTGTTCAGCCACACCCCTCACTTTACAAATGTTCAGATTATATTGTCTTTTGTTACGTCCAAATTTTTAACATTATCTTGTGGGAAGTAGGAGGTACCTGTCAATACTTCCTCCTGTGTATCCCTGAGCTTCCAGGAAACTTACACTCATGCTTCTTCTATTCTACCTCTCCCTTTAATTGGAGTCTTCCTATCAGATGTAAAATATGCTCTGTCTTTTTTTTAATCCTCACCCAAGGATATGTTTTTATTGATTTTTAGAAGAAAAAGATAGAGAAAAACACCTATGTGAGAGAGAAACATCGATCGGTTGCTTCCCATACACATCCCAACAGGGGATCAAACCCCCAACCTAGGCATGTGCCCTGATGGGAAATCAAACCTGCAACCTTTTGGTGCACTGGAGAACAGGGCAAACAATTGAGCCCCCGGGCCAGGGGTATGCTTGCGTCTATTCACTGCCTGACTCGTAGATATCTACCCATTCAGGTTAATTTGCCTCTTGTCCCAGAGGAGTTGTCTTGGGCACAGCGGGTCCTTGGGTCTTTCTGAGGCTGGGATGGGGGAGGAGAGAAGGGGATGCAGCAGGACCCTTAAACCCAGGCTCTGCTGGAGCTCTGAGGGGTGATCAGGAAGAGGTTGCACCCCTCTGATCCACTCCAGGATTTCAAACCTCCTCTTATATTTGATACTATTGGTCACTCTTATCTACTTGTTTCCCTCTACTTGTTCGGCCGAAGCATGTCAGAGGCTTCCCCTTGCACTTGGGATAAAGACAAGATGTTCATTTACCTCCCTGGCAACTCCTTCACAAGCTCATCCTCTCCATGGCCACTCAACGCCAATCCTCAAGATTGGCCCCCGGCCTTCTCTTCTTGCTCACTATCCTCTCGCCTCAGGCCTAGTCTTACTCATCCTTCTCCAAGGCTCCAAGTCATCACTGTCTGCCGGATTCATCTCTTACCTATCTGAGCTCAGCTCTGTATACCCAACTGCCAACTCATCATCTCTTTTGGGGAGATCAGAAGCCTTCAAACTACCTGCTCTCATGATTTCCCCCTCAATCCTGCCCTCTTTCCACCTCAGTGAACCGGCGCCAACATCCCTCCTTACCCATAAGCAAGAAACCTATGGCTTTTTCTTGATGACTCCCTCTGCTTCACAGTCCACGGAGTCTATCATCAAGTTCGTGCACTGAATTTCCTACATGGTCCTCAGATCCTTCTTCTTACGATTTCCATGACCATCACCTGGCATCAAACCTCTCCCATGTGCCAAGGAGACTGCTCAAGATGCCAGTCTGACCATGCCACCCCTTCGCCGAAGCATGTCAGAGGCTTCCCTTGCACTTGGGATAAAGACAAGATGTTCAACCCAGGTAGATGGCTGGGCAAGGTTTGGTCCTTTTCCAGTCTTCCCAACTTCTAATAATGCCTTCTTCCTTGTTCTTCCAGCAGTACTGGCCGTTGCTCAATTTCTCCAACTCGGTCTGTCCCTCTCTTCACAGGACCCCTGCACACCAAGTTACCTCTGATTGAAATATTTCTACCTAGTTAAATCTATTCTTAGCTCAAGAGGCAGTTCCTTCATCATTAATTTTTTGTCTTTATTAATTTTATCGACTTGTTTTGTATTACTATGTCTCCATATCGATTTGTATTCTATTCGTTGATCATTTTGCATTTGCTTACTGTTATTATTTCCATATTACAATGGTTAAATCTGTAAGGTCCATTGTGTTGCCAGTGCTAGTACAGTGCCTGGCAATGAATGGGCATGCAATAGATATTTATTGGAGAAATAAAGGAAGGACATAAAGAAGCCTGAGAGGGAGTGAGGAAATGGGGAGAGAATAAATGAATGCGTGCTCACATGTATATGCCACTTCAGAATCATTGGAAACAGGCCAGCCCAACATGACATGGGAAGACAGTCTATCTGAAATCACTCATTTATTCAACAAATATTTGTTTGTTATTTATTCAAGTAGCATAATTTTTTTCTGATTATGAACGTAACTGTTCCATTTGGAAACCATGAAAAAAAATATCCAAAATATAAAAGAGAAATAACCAATTCACCTTTCATTCCACAGTCTAATGATGAACTACTATTAAAATAATTTGGCATATTTCTTTTCAGGTTTTTTCTATGCATATACAGTATATAAGTAGGATCATTGTATGCTTCTTTCTATTAATGATCTATTATGAACATTTCCTTGTGTTAAGAATTCCTGGAACACTTTGCATTTACATCGCTAAAATGCATTCTACTGCATGGATGTATGTCATTTAGACATCTTTCCACTCACTGTTGGATATTCAAGGGCGGCCACTTTGTCATTTCTATATAAACGCTCTGTGAGGGCCCAGAGAGAAAGAGGGTAATGCATAGACTCTGGTAGGAGGTGGACTTTGGGAAAACAGGAGGCAGCTGTTTCAGGAGGCTGAAGAGACCATTTATTTGCTTTCGGGTTGCTGAGCCTGGGGAGGTGTCCTCAGAATGCAACGTATGTCAATCGAGGTAATGAGCTCTCATCTCTCAAGTGTCCACTTGCTCCTCGGGCGGTTTGGCTTCAGCACACCCAGCCTCCAACCCGGGGAAGCCAGCACCTGAGGCTTGGGCTTGGCCTCGCAGGTCGCCCCTGGCCAGGCCCGGAGCAGGGCCCGCCCTCCGCTCCCCACCCAACCCCGCCCCGCGGCTACCGGAGCTTCTCCTTCAGCCCCGCCCCCGGGCGACCTCGCACGTCTTCCGGCCCCTAAGGAGCCCCGCTCCAGAACTGCAGGCCCCGCCCCTCATCCAGGCCCCGCCCCCGCAATCCGGGCCCCGGGGTTGCCCCGCCCCGCCCCGCCCCGCCGGCCGCTCGCGAGGCGCAGGGGCGGTGCCCTGCGCGATGACGTGAGCGGGCGTGCGCGGTGACGGCCCTCGTCCCTGTTACTCAGCGGAGCGGCCGAGGCCGGACGACGCGGTCCAAGAAGCCGAGGCGTGGGCAGCGCTGGGTAACGGCTGCGGCGACCGCCCGGACAGCGCCGGTCCCTCCGCCGGGCCCCCCTGTCGCCGTTCGCTGTGCTGCCGGTAAGCGCGGGGGACGCCGCAGGGCCCTGGCCGGCGGCCCCGCCGTGTTTATGTTATTGTGCCGCCGCCGCCGCCTTCCTCTCCGCCGGGACCCCCTCCCGCGAGTGGGGGCGGGAGCGCGCGGGGCAGGGGGGCGCGTGGCGGGCGGGGGCAGCGCGGGGACAATTGCGGCCCGGGGGGCGGGGGCTGGCCTGCGGCTTGTGGCGGCGGGACCCCTGCGCACCCCGGCCATCGCCCTCCTTTGGCCGCCCCAGCTCCGCCCTCCCGTCCTCGCGCGGGTCCCACGTCCACGTCGAGAGGGGAAAATGGAGCGGGGCGGGGAGGGGTGGCAAGTTCTGAGACACTTGGAGGAAGATCGGGCCCGAGGCGCCTCGGGGGCCCCGCCGCGCCCTGGCTGCACCCCCGCGGTGGGCGCCCGCGGAGCGCGCTCGGGCCACCCGGCCCAACGCCGCCCCCCTCCAGGGACCGTGTTTTGTTTCTCGGTGGTTTCTTTGTGCTGACGATCCGGGCGAGCAGGCGCGGGCACGGCTGGGGGCCGTCGGCCCCGGCCGCGGGGAAGCGGCCCTGGACTGGGCGGAGGTGTCCATCCAGCGCGGCGCAGCTTCCGTGGACGGCGCGCGTTTCTCTTGAGGTCACTCACTGGTGACCTTTTGACTTTTTCACCCCAGCCTCCCATCTCTTTGTCTTGCACTTGGGTTCCCCAGCCTTAGGTGGCAGATCCAAGTCCATTTTAAGTGTTTTGATTCACACTTTTCATTTTAATTTCTGAAAGTTCCTCATCCGATGTTTACATACTGAGTGCCTGGTACCAGATAATGTCCAGTCCCTACTATTTTTACCTCTGAAATTCAGTGATCTTTCCAGTACAATTCTGATCTGTCAGCCCGTTGTGTTTTAACAAGTACCCTCTTGGCCATTAGAGCATCTGCCTATTTCATTCATTCATTCATTCAGCAACTCTTCAGTACTGGACCCTGGTGGAGAGTGTCAGCCATGATTGGTGGCACCAATTTAAACACAGCAGGAAGGAATCCTCAGTTTGGAGTGCGCTGAAGAAGGAAACTTCTCTCAGTGCATGCAGCTCAGTGGTGCTACAGCAGGCCGTGAGAGCACACAGCTGTGGAGCAGCTCAGGGGCCAGGCCCCTTTCTGACTGATCTGGCTGGTCCGCTCTGTGCTGATGGGCTCCCGGTGCCACTCGCTCTGCCCTGTGCTGCTCCACACCATGGTGGGCTCCCGGTGCCACTCAGCTCTGCCCTGCTCCACACCATGGTGGGCTCCCGGTGCCACTCAGCTCTGCCCTGCTCCACACCATGGTGGGCTCCCGGTGCCACTCAGCTCTGCCCTGCTCCACACCATGGTGGGCTCCCGGTGCCACTCAGCTCTGCCCTGCTCCACACCATGGTGGGCTCCCTGGTGCCACTCGCTCTGCCCTGTGCTGCTCCACACCATGGTGGGCTCCCGGTGCCACTCAGCTCTGCCCTGTGCTGCTCCACACCATGGTGGGCTCCCGGTGCCACTCAGCTCTGCCCTGCTCCACACCATGGTGGGCTCCCTGGTGCCACTCGCTCTGCCCTGTGCTGCTCCACACCATGGTGGGCTCCCGGTGCCACTCAGCTCTGCCCTGCGCCACACCATGGTGGGCTCCCTGGTGCCACTCGCTCTGCCCTGTGCTGCTCCACACCATGGTGGGCTCCCGGTGCCACTCAGCTCTGCCCTGCTCCACACCATGGTGGGCTCCCTGGTGCCACTCGCTCTGCCCTGTGCTGCTCCACACCATGGTGGGCTCCCGGTGCCACTCAGCTCTGCCCTGCGCCACACCATGGTGGGCTCCCTGGTGCCACTCGCTCTGCCCTGTGCTGCTCCACACCATGGTGGGCTCCCGGTGCCACTCAGCTCTGCCCTGCTCCACACCATGGTGGGCTCCCTGGTGCCACTCGCTCTGCCCTGCTCCACACCATGGTGGGCTCCCCGGTGCCACTCGCTCTGCCCTGTGCTGCTCCACACCATGGTGGGGTCCCTGGTGCCACTCAGCTCTGCCCTGTGCTGCTCCACACCATGGTGGGCTCCCTGGTGCCACTCGCTCTGCCCTGTGCTGCTCCACACCATGGTGGGCTCCCGGTGCCACTCGCTCTGCCCTGTGCTGCTCCACACCATGGTGGGGTCCCTGGTGCCACTCGCTCTGCCCTGTGCTGCTCCACACCATGGTGGGCTCCGGGTGCCACTCGCTCTGCCCTGTGCTGCTCCACACCATGGTGGGCTCCCGGTGCCACTCAGCTCTGCCCTGTGCTGCTCCACACCATGGTGGGGTCCCTGGTGCCACTCGCTCTGCCCTGCCCTGCTCCACACCATGGTGGGCTCCCTGGTGCCACTCAGCTCTGCCCTGTGCTGCTCCACACCATGGTGGGCTCCCGGTGCCACTCAGCTCTGCCCTGCTCCACACCATGGTGGGCTCCCTGGTGCCACTCGCTCTGCCCTGTGCTGCTCCACACCATGGTGGGCTCCCTGGTGCCACTCAGCTCTGCCCTGTGTTGCTCCACACCATGGTGGGCTCCCTGGTGCCACTCAGCTCTGCCCTGTGTTGCTCCACACCATGGTGGGCTCCCTGGTGCCACTCAGCTCTGCCCTGTGTTGCTCCACACCATGGTGGGCTCCCTGGTGCCACTCGCTCTGCCCTGCTCCACACCATGGTGGGGTCCCTGGTGCCACTCGCTCTGCCCTGTGCTGCTCCACACCATGGTGGGCTCCCTGGTGCCACTCGCTCTGCCCTGTGCTGCTCCACACCATGGTGGGCTCCCTGGTGCCACTCGCTCTGCCCTGTGCTGCTCCACACCATGGTGGGCTCCCTGGTGCCACTCGCTCTGCCCTGTGCTGCTCCACACCATGGTGGGCTCCACTCCCCACTCAGTGCCAGCTCACCTTAGGTTGTCAGTGTTGAGCCGGAGGGGAGCTCACTCATGCAGACAGAAGTCCCTGTCTGTCCTTATGCAAATTAGGGCTCAGAACCTTTGATGGTTGGCCCAAAAGGCAGTGTCCTGATAGGTCAAAATGGAACTGCTCGAAGCTCTTATTGGATGGGGAGAGTCTCAGTACTATTGGTTGGAACAGGATTCCAGGAGCTCCTGTGTAAGGGCTGGCTCAGAGGGCAGGCAGTTCAGTGTAGGCCTCTCCCTGAAGTGCAGTTGGCGGGAGGCTTCTACTTTTATTGTTTGGGCCCAGTTAGCCACCAGGATCCCTTCTTAGTAGGTGTCTTTTCTTTTCTCAGGATTCACCAGAGTTCAAGGGTAAAGCATCCTCTCCTTTAATTGGAGAGGATGCTTTAAAATATAATAGATGTGCCTTTTTTAAAATTTGAATTAGGGTGACATTGGTTAATAAAACTATGTAGGTTTCAGGTGTATAATTCTATAATATATTATCTGCATATTCTATTGTATGGTTGCCAAGTCCGGTCTCCTTCCATCACCATTTAGCTCCCCTTTCTCCTCTTCCACCTCCCCAGCCCCCTTTCCCTCTGATAATCACCATACTGTTGTCTGTGTCTGAGTTTTTGTTTTTTTGCTTATTCTTTTCACCATTTTTATCCAACCCCACACCTCCCTGCCCTCTGACAGCTGTCAGTCTGTTCTCTGGATCTATGTCTCTGGATCTGTTTTGTTTATTAGTTTATTTGGTTCTTTAGATTCCACATATAAGTGAAATCATGTGGTACTTGTCTTTCTCTGACTGGCTTATTTCACTTAGCATAATGCTCTCCAGGTCCCTCCATGCTGTCACAAAAGGTGAGATTTTCTCTTTTTTTACGGCCAAGTAATATTCCATTGTAACTCAAACAAATATAAGCCCCCCAGTGTTCATTGCAGCTTTATTTATAATAGCCAAGATTTGGAAACAGCCCGAATACCCATCAGTAGATGAAAGGATAAAAAGTTCTGGTACATTTACACAATAGATGCACCTGTAAATAAGGTGATTATACAGGGTCGTTAGTATTTTTACCTCTGAAATTCAATGATCTTTCCACCCCACTTCTGTCGCCCCAGTTGTGAGTATGCGAAACATAGTTTATTCTTTATTATTTCCCATACACACAACTGTAAACCTATTTTTGCCGCACCCCCCCCCCCCCCCCAATGTAAGTGATGTGTATTAAAGAAGATAGAGTTTTACTCTGGGTCATTTTACTATTTTTTTAGTGGTAGATCTGGGACTTCTAGTGTAATGTTATATTGGAAAGTTGAGTTAGGTTGTGTCTAAGAATACAATGGCTTTTATTTATTTCCAAATTTTATTTTTCGGTGTTATAGCCTTACAGTCATTTGTACTGTTGACCTCAGGTTTTCCTGCAGTGGGTTAAGCCTAGGAGGTCAGATGCTGTCCATGAACAGTTTGGTTCTGTGCCTGACAAAAGCAAGCAAAGTGGCGCTTCTTTAAGGACAGCTCCTTGCATTTGTGACTCCACTGGCCTGGGATATTAGCAAGTGTCCAGTAAAAGCCAGAGTGGTGAAAAGCTCTTTACAATGAGTAGTATTTAAAACAAGCCTTAAAAAAATGAATGTTCTCCTTGAAGTTTTAGAAGCCTCATGCAACCTGTCACTTTCAAATGACTAAATGATCAGTTCATGTATATTTTCTGCCATGGCAGTAGTGGCTTTTGAATTACTTCACTATCAGTTATCTTTTTGTTACTTTTAAACCATTTACTATACTAAAATAAAACCTTGTCTAAAATGTATGTCTTTGTGTATTTTTTTTCTTTCTTTCTCCATCTCTCTCCTACACACACACACACACACACACACACACACACACAATGATATTTCAGTAGGGGTCTAAAGTAATTTCAGTTATCCTTTTGTGAAAAGTTTCCAGTGACTCCCTTAAGTGGAAGAGTTGGTACAAAGGAAACAAGCTGTATAATTTCCAACAATATTTTAAAAATGTTTAATTTTAAGTTTTTTTACTAATACTTTGGTGAAGCCCATGGGCCTCAAACTCAAA